TTACGAGTATACGTGAATTTTGTAGATGTCCACGATATAAGCGAAACGCATGATAATCATACAAAAATGTGAACCGACGTATTACAAGGTACAGATGAAGAAGTACCGATAATTGGTGGAAATTGGTGATTTCAGTCAATTTACAGCCTCACATATCAAAAAGGGTATAATTTTGAGCAGTTATGGCAATACTGTAATTACTGTAAGCCTGTTTAAATTTTTTTGTGCACCCAAGTTGAGGGGTGGTTCACCTATACAAGCTGTGTGTAAACTCGTATCGAACTACAGGCCGGCAATTAAAGTGAGTACCTGTCAAAGTAATAGAAATTTAAGTACCTGTCGTACTCGAAGTATTCAGAGTATCATCGGAACAGTCAGGCCGGAGTATCTCATAGTGCATTGAAAATATCTGGAGAACATAGATATGCACCATGTACTCCGAAATAGGTGTACAAGGTTCTTCTTAGATCATTTCAGATAGTGTTGAAGTAGATGCAATGTACATACAGTAGACCAAAAAAATATCGGTATACCCCATTTTTAATTGAATCTCAAAAACGAAAATATGTTTTTTTATACTAAGTTTATTTAAAAACTAACAACCAAGTAGTAATTTTTGATGACATTAGATTGACTAAATTAAAAATAATTAAGAATAACAGTAATAGGAATTATTAAATTCAAGGATCTAAAAAGTATTGGTACACTAAAAAAATGGCGTCAAGTAGGTTGAACACAACTCCCACGAAACTCCGTCATCAGTTCCTAAAGGCGCAAGTTAGACCCCATCGCAAAAAGGCAGCGTCATATACCTTATATCCTCTGGTTAGAGGATAGTTGCTATGCTTTCGTTCGTTGTCCCAGAGACTAAGGATAGACTATGCTGATTAGTTGCCAAAAAAGCATGACGGACGAAATCAGCACGTTTAAGTTAGGTCCTCTAAGAAAAAAGTTAGTTACATACATGTATAACAGAGAAATTAAATGGATCAAGTGTGGCAAACAGATCTGTACAATTAGACCATAACATCCTTTCCCTGCCTTACAGTCATGCAGGATACATAGGAACATCGGCAGGCCGGCCGCGGCCGTTGAAGTCAGCAAAGGCAAGTGCGCTTGTTGGAAAAAAATCTACATGTATCGTTCAAAGTCTATTGGCTGATATATCAACTGCTCATACTTGTATGAAGCTTCAATTAACCACTGCAGACAATTTAACCATTTTGTTTATTCAGGATTACTTCTTTAAATATGTGGTTTGTCCTACCCTAACTACGCTAATGAATGCACGCACACAGAAAATGCCGGTATCTCGCAATGACGGAATGTATGGCACGACAGATTAAATAAATCTTGTCCCTTATCACAGTTGCCGTGGTAGTTTCAAACGTAAAAAATTATCACGAGGACTTCTGCAACAACTAATCATTCATACTTAGTATGAAATGTACATGCATGAATGCTTCGGTCCTATCGAGATATATTGACTTGCGGATGATATAAATCTTTGTAGAGAAGTGGGCGAATATCTTTCTACATAAATAAGATGCTAACGTCAGTGTTAACTGTATATACGAGTATGCAAGAACGACCAAGATGATTTTCTTATCTCATACAATGCTTTTAAAAAGGTCTTCCCTACTGATTTTTTGAACGAGTCAAATTAGAAAGCATACAATTTAGAACAACGAATTCATGCATTTTAGCAGTGGAATCACTATTTTGGAGTATTTTTTCAAATAGAGATGCTCCTTATGAGTAATTCATAGCGATAGAATATAACTCCCCGGCACTCCATGCCCAGCCGGCATTTTGGAATATTCAACTGTAATTTCTACATTAAAATATAGTATTCATCTGCCAATTTCATCATACCAAACTTCAGCTCCTTAACAGGATCTCTTCAAAAAATAAGCATTCTGAAAAGCACTGTTACTATGATACTATATCCTATTTGTCACCTTATAATGCTTTTTTGATTAGGCGTCTTTATGGCAGAAAATCATCATTTAAATGATACATCATTATAAGCAGATTCACGATACTCCATTTAGAGTCAAAGAACTGATTCAAGGATCAAAACAGATTTCACAAAAATTGTAATGACTTTTAGTGAAATATAGAGTTGAATATACCGGATCTCTTCTGAGCACTAAGATTATTGCAAATGGTTGCTCAATAAACATCAGCCTTTCAAAACATAAAACTAATAAAATATAATTTAAGATATCGTTGCTAATAATTCATCTATGGCATTTACTGGTGTCTCTAAAAATGTTAGGTTTTACTTACACAGTATATGAACAATTTCGTATGTTATCGTTCCATTTCCCTGAAGTACACATGTTGAAATTTTGTATTGTTTCATCAATGTGCATGACTTAGTTTTTTTTGAATGACGTTCTCTCATATATGTATAGACATTTTTTATGTTCCTGTTTGGTTCAATTTCTAAAGCAGATTCTGGATGAAACGTGGGTTTGTATCAAAACATATATATATTGCATTCAAAAAATTTATTGTAAAAAAATAGGTCACGAGTTTATGCATGAAGATCATATTTTTCAACAAATTACAACTTCAAGATTGTCAATGTCAGCAACCAAATCATATTAAAAATCAGAATGAACTGATTTTAAGTTTTTTGGGCCGTTAGCTCTCTCCATATATAAAATGGATCCATCAGAAGAAAACTGGAACAGCTATAAAAGCCTCAGAAATTACTGCTTGCTAGCATTACGCAAAGAAAAATCAGCCTATTTGGAACATCTACATAAAAATAAAAACTCTAAATCTCTTTACAACAAATGCACATACTAAGTAATAAAGAGCCTCCGAACATTCCGGTCCACCTTTACAATCCATATAAAGTGAATTATTACTTTACCTCAATTTTTAAGAATAGTGATGAACAATGTATTGACAAAATAATTCATTATCGTAACAACAGACATAGTTTTGAGAGGTTTTCTTTCAACTGACAAGCTTAGCATCTATAATCAGTCATATTGGTTCCAATGCATCTGGTAATGACGGAGTTACGTTGCGAATGTTAAAATTATGCTATCCCGCTATTATCATATTATAGCATATTATCAATCTATGCTTAGAGAGAGGCTATTTTCCAAGCGCGTGGAAAGCAGCAATGGTAAAACCACTCGCTAAAACCTCGAATCCTTTGTCATTGATGACCTACGACCGATAAGTCTTTTGCCTCTTCTATCCAAAATACTGGAACGCGCAGCTTATATCCAGATTTACGAGTACTTAGACAAAAATAATATAAGTGTTCATCAATCGGGTTTTAAAAAAAATCATAGCACTACTACGGCTTTAGTGGACTTGATCGATGGCATAATTTCCGCGCTTGACAATAAAAACTTGTGTGCTCTTGTCCTTTTAGATTTTTCGAAGGCATTTGATACATTGAAGCACAAACTGCTTGTAGCCAAATGTCATTACTATGGCTTTGATGATCTTGCTTGTAAGCTCATCAAGTCATATTTAAGTGATCGGTCGCAAGTGGCTGTGGTTGATGGTCAGATGTCTTTGCCAAATAAAGTTCAGTTCGGAGTACCTCAAGGCTCCGTATTAGCTCCATTGCTTTTTTTGTTATACACCGCAGATCTTCAAGATACTGTCAAGCACTGTCATGTGCAATTCTTTGCCGATGACACTCAGGTAAAGTATGATTTTCCAGCCTCACGCTACTCTGAAGCCCAAGACCAAAGCAATGAAGATTTGTCAAGTATTAGCCGCTATTGCAAGTTACATAACCTCAAGCTCAACCCATCGAAGTGTAAAGCCTTGTTATTTGGTAATATCAAAATAAGAGCAAATCTTATAAGCAAAATTGACGTTCAAATCGAAGGAAAAATCATCCCTTATTCAGAATGTGCCAAAAATTTGGGCTTACATTTAGATGAAGACTTGAGGTTTGAAAAACACTTACAGCACGTTTTGAGGCAATGTTACGGTTCGCTCCAGCTTCTATTTGCAACCAATTGCATCACTGGTAAGCAATTGAAAAAACAGCTATGTGAAAGCTTGGTATTGTCTAAGATTTCGTATGGGCTAATAATTTATTACCCCTGCCTAACTGCTGCGAATAAAAGACGTCTACAGATAATGCAAAATACTTGTAGTAGGTACATAAATAATTTCAGGAAATTTGATCGTATATCGCATACGTATTCTGACCTCAATTGGTTAACTATAGATAATCTATACAAATATTCTGTTATAAGTTCTGTGCATCGTATTTTACTATCCGCATCACCCCCATACCTGTTTGAAAAATGTATTACCAGATCCAGCACGCATAATATTAACACAAGGCATCAGGCTTTCTTTATACTGCCAGTCCACCGTACTGTTTTATATTCAAGAACCTTTATTTACAATGCCGTTAAATATTACAACAGTATTAATTTTCATTTTAAAAATATTGCGAATATTAAAACTTTTAAATTAAAATTGAAGTCCGATCTTCTCTCGCAAACATGAATTGCCACTTATATTTTTTTATTGGTTAATGATGGTTGATTTTAAAAATCAGTTTTGTTGGTTTAAAACAAAGCGATTTAAATGTATGTACCATAGTTAATGTCATCCATTTCTATGTTATTTCGTATAAATTATCAAAACGGGGTTAGGTGGAAGAATAGCTTACGCTAAACCTCGCCCCTCGTAATGTACTAAATGTTTAGTGCAATAAAGACCCTTTATTATTATCATTATTATTATTGCTTATTTCTTATCTGTCTAAACACCACAATAGAAAAATGGATCTTAAGAAAGAAAATCAATACACAATTTGCTAGACAATATGTTGTTCAAATCGAACCAAACTTTGTACAACAAATTGTAGTATCTCAAACAGTCGTAAGAGACTTAGGACATGTCCTTGTGCTTAGATCAATTTGATTTTTTATTACGTGCGAATAACGGATAGAGCGTTCTGCGTATTCAAATAATTTACTCGAGATTCTTTTTTTCAGGTCCAAAATAGCCCGCCGTAGCTTCTGTTTATCCAGTAAGTAATAGTATTTTCCGACGATAGAAGAGGGTATATTTATAAATGTCAAAACAGACGTGTTCTAGGCATACATTTGCTTAATCACGGTGTCAAGTTTCAGTAAGCGGAACATTCGGTCTTCAGACATGCTGGACAAGAATAGAATAATGCATTTAGAAGTTTAGAAGCTCACGTACTAGAGGTACTAACAATGAAGCAACGGATAAAGTCAGCTGGTCGGAAGGAAATCATTTTTACAAACGAAAGCCGTGTGTCGGGTTCCTTTTTAATCTGTTCGTATGAAAAAGATACGTGTATTGATGATGTTTTCTATTTACACTACAGATATGTTAAATAAACAATTTTGTTTTGTCAATTTGGTAGGCAATGGTAGGCAAATTAGTGAAAAATATGCACTAAAACTACACAATTTTGGCGGCAAACAATGCAACGTAAACATATGGGCTTGGTTCTTTCTAATCTATGCGAATTTGTTGCTTAATCCTGATCGAATCGTTGGCATCCTCACTACTGACTACGTCAGTTTTGTTCAATATAAATCGAAAGCTACCTCGTTCTTCCTATTCCAATTCCTTGTCAACAATAAATAAGAGGCTAGGGGCAGTCAATGGATGGTTTTATAAAAAGGGAATAAAAATTTCATGGAGATTATTGCTCAATATTAATAGCATCTTGGAATAATGGTGTGTTAGTCGACTCGAATATGGATTTAAAATAACTTCAAACGGCTTTTATTTAACCAGACAGTAAGTAAACATACCTAATACTTTTATGCAATAAAGGAAAAATGAATGTCATAGGTGCAAATAGTTATAATGGGTGATTTTTTTGCTAGTATCTTTTTGGCAACACTGTTTTTGACAGATGACGCGTGAATCGTGTCTTGTGTCATTGTCAAACTTGTTTAGTTTGGTCTATAATTTAACCATGAATCGACTTACGAACGAACAACGCTTGCAAATTATTGAATTTTACTATCAAAATTCATGCTCGGTTAAGAGAGTGCATCGAGCACTGCTTCCAACTTATGGGCAATTTGGTCGACCTACTGAGGGAGCTTGTGACCAAATTTCGAAACCAGTTTACATTATTGGACATTAAACCACCAACACGCAGACGTAGAGTGAGGACTGAATAAAATATTGCTGTATCCGCCAGTGTTAGTGATGATCGTGAAATGTCGAGTCGTCGCCGTTCGCAGCAATTGGGCCTCTGTTACTCCACTACGTGGAAAATTTTGCGACAGGATTTGGGTGTAAAACCTTATAAGATACAGCTGGTGCAAGAATTGAAGCCACACGACCTCCCACAACGTTTCCCATTTGGTGAATAGGCTCTGGCAAAGTTGGAGGAAGATCCACATTTTTATCGAAAAATTGTGTTCAGCGACGAAGCTCATTTCTGGTTGAATGGGTACGTTAACAAGCAAAATTGCCACATCTGGAGTGAAGACCAGCCAGAAGCATTGCAAGAGCTACCAATGCATCCCGAAAAAATCACTGTTTGGTGTGGATTATGGGCCGGTGGCATCATCGGGCCGTACTTCTTGAAAGAAGACAATGACCGGAACGTAACTGTGAATGGCGAGCGCTACCGTGCGATGATAACAAACTTTTTTTTGCCCAAAATGGAAGAGCTGGACTTGGCTGACATGTGGTTTCAACAAGACGGTGCCACATGCCACACCGCACACGAAACAATGGCCCTATTGAGAGGCGAGTTCGGTGAACAGTTTATCTCACGTTTGGGGCCCGTCAATTGGCCGCCTAGATCGTGTGATTTAATGCCGTTGGACTATTTCTTGTGGGGCCATGTTAAGGCTAATGTCTACAGGGATAAACCAGCAACGATTGACGCACTGAACGCCAATATTGAAGCATTTATTCGTGAGATACCGGCCGATATGTTGGAGAGAGTGTGCCAAAATTGGACCTTGCGCATGGGCCATCTAAAGTTGAGCCGCGGCCAACATTTACATGAAATAATCTTTAAACATTAAATTATGTCGACAGTTCTATCGACTCAAATAAAGATTTAATCGTTTTTTAAAATTTGTTGTGTTTTTTTTAAATCAAATCCTATACCTCTTAAAAAATCACCCGTTATAAGAACCATCGACGATCTAGCTCTCTTTTACCGCTGCACTAACGGGCTTTGCTCCTCAGAGCTCTCTTCCATGATGTCGCCGCGGGATGTGCCTGCCAGACAGACCCGCCTGACTCTGGCCTCCCATCGTAACCGTGTCGAACTTCGTACATCCAGAACTTGTCGATACGACCGCTCCTTGGTCCCGAGGGGGAGTTCTACTAGCCTTAGGCAGTTCAAAAATCGGATTAACAAAATTTCTTTGGGATCACCATAGCAGCCGCGTTGTACGGCATTTAGGCTTCTGCCTGCGCGACTGCTTCGGTATATATAAGTATAAAAAAAATAGAAAAATAGATAACCTTCGGGGTATCAAAATCTTCCAGCGGACACAAGGAATGAGAAGTAGCACTTCTCATTAGAATTTCAATATGGCGTTTCGTCTCTTGTCCTCCAGCATCAACTTTATTTTTTCTTATAGACGCCGTATTGGATTTTTGCACAGATGAATACAGTTTTTAATTCTGATTTCAAAAATTTTAACATGCCATACGTTGACGTTGCCAAATCGTAGTTATTTCAGAATTTCCTAGATAGGCCGTGATATTATCAGATTTGTTTCACCTACCAGATTAATTTATCCCAAAATCAGTTTTATTTTTTCATGGCTTTATTTTAGGTGTGATTCCAAAATAAATTGCATGTCAACTTTGCCACTTTTTCTTCTCTACAGGATGGTATAATTAGAATTTCAGTATTATGTTTTGTCTCCTTTCCCCAGCTTGGCTCATAGACCCCATATTGGATTTCTGCGCAGATGAATAGAGTCTTTAATTTTGCTTCAAAAATGTATAATGTCATACAGAAAACTGAAGTTGCTAGGTATGCCTTGGAAGTATTAGATTTCATTTGCTTTGTATACCATACCAGACCACAAATTATTCTAGCAACATAGTGAAAGACTGAGAAGAAGAGAAATAAATCGAGCAGGGAAGAGTTAGGTTTTGCCTACAAAATAACGGACAACATTTTGAATATTTGCTATAATTTACCTGTGCTTATTGATGATTATTATTGTTACTGCCATCAATAACGTTTTCATTTTGTGTTCATGTTTTACCATACCTTTTTATTTCCTTATAATTTTTATCCAACAACAAATTCATGGCCAACTAAGTAAATCATCACTGAATTTAGGACTGAAAAGTTAATTTAAATGTACAAAATTTCAATATAGCGTCCATATGAGAAAACAAAGTTGGTGATGGGAGTCGAAAGAAGAAATGTCGAATCGAAAATTTGACTACGCCGTCTTGGAGAGCAGAATAAATAACAATGACAACATGCAATTTATTTAGAAATCCCATCTCAAACAAAGTCAGGAAAAAATAAGTGTTTTGGAAGAAATCTGGTATTTGAAACAAATGATTATCGGATAATTTCAAAGTCTACGTAGGAAATTTTGCTTTCTTGTAATATCTAAGGCTTGGAAATGCCAATGTATGACGTATTATACATTTTGGAATCAGAATTGAGAACTCTATTCAGCTGTGTAAAAATCAAATATAACCCTAAATCAGAAAAAATAAAGTTGATGCTGGAGATGGAGACGAACGTCATATTGATATTCTAATTATGCCTTCTTGTATAGGAGAAAAAGTGACAATTTTAATGTGCAAATTATTAATAAATTAAGATGATTTTGAGAAAATTGGTTTTTCCGTCTCTCTCGGGAAGTACTTTCGGTTTCGAGGCTTTCTAAGCGACATTTTGTTGATTACCTAAATAAGCAACTCTGCTCCGAATTCAGCGACTTCGTATCTGTTACAGTTTCCGAGATACCAATGGTGAGGGTCGAATTTGAAACACCCTGTATATCTATTTATATATTTGTTCAAAAGTTGCAGTTGCTCATTTTTAGAAAATCTAGTGTCCAAGATAACTTTTTTGTTTATTACTTATAGATTTACCAAAGGCTATAAGGGCTTTGTCATAATGCCCATATATTCGTAGTGACTGGGGATGCAACGATTGCAAATTTTTAGGAAATTGGGAATGCGAATGAGAATATCTAGTGCCGATATTCACGAATACGAATACGAACATTCAGTTTTTTTTCTGTATATATACTACATCAAAATATACTTATAGAGAAGACTGCGAAGATTTTGAAGTTTGATTTTCCTATAGTTCAGCTTGATTATAGAATTGCTTTTTAAACAGCAAGTAGTTCGCAAAAACACATTTATTTTTCACAACATATTCAATTATATAATTGTGGTTTATATTTGCGTTTTTCATTTGTAAAACATTAACAATTAAATATTGATAAAAGTTAAAAGCAATATGTTTTTGTTTGTTCAGAACTGTTACTCCATAGTTACGGCTGCATTCGTTTTAAACAACAGTTTGCTAGATTAATTACACGTTCTTTTCACAAATACTCAGTTTTCTATTCCCCTCCCCCTCCTTTTTATCAGTTCTCAGTTTCCTAACCTCGGCCTTTAGCTTAAGTTTATTTTGTTTACGTGCAAAATCCACCGCATTCGAACTGTGAGATTTTTAAGTTTAAATCATAAGGGAAAAAAGTTTATGTGTAGAATAAGGTTTTTGTTTGTCTCTTACAATATGATCCTCGAGCAAAAAATAATAAACTAATATTCCTTATTTTACTCAAATATGTAATATTCTTTCCATTTTCTCTTGTTCTGATATCCATATTTGCAAAATATTCTCATGAATTTCGCGAATGTGATTACTAAGAAACATGAATATTCGTTACATCACTAATAGCGCGAAGGTCTCACAATTTAAACGAAATCTTGACGTATTTTAGTGGCCTGTTTCCTTTGCATAGTCCTTATTACTTTAAAATGTAAGTGAATTTACTTCCAATACATAAATAGGCTTAATGCTCACATAGGAATATCTTATTTCACCAAATAAAGAAAAGGGGTTTGACTCTTCAACAGACGTATTTAGGTACATACGAATGTTTCACTTGAGTGGCATCACGCGGGATAGTGTTATAATGATTACAAGTATAAAGATCAATGCATATAAGGTACAGTGATTAAACTGGTGTTAAACTATATCTTGTTTACATGCCACAGTGAAAAGAAAAAAATGCTTATCGGGTTGTAGTGTGTGGATAAATTTAAACAATTTAAAGCGTAGAAATGTTTATATTTGTCTACATATGATTTAATGCACCATTGGTAGTTTTATATTTTGCTCGAGATAACATGGCAATGAAACTTAAACAGCTAG